GCATTGTGTTATTAAAAAGGGGAATATACTCTTAAAGCTAATAGCTACTTAATTTTCAAGAACATAATTAGAAGAATAGAATTAGGATGGAAAACGATTTTTCCTAATAAATACTCAAGAAAGTATCGCATTTTGGATATTCTACATATTTTGTCATATTATATACATTCTTTACAATTTTCTACTTTCAAATTTCCCATAAATACATAAAAGCCCGCAGTCTGCTTATTACTAAACTTCCCTTTTTACCTTTCAAGTATGCTACCGATCATTTATTCTTTGGTTTTCATTATCCATTAGGTCTCAACGTATCCTCGTCACTTTTCATCATCGTACAATCAATAAATTGTTATTGCACTATGTTCCACATATCGTTTCTTAATTCTATTTCACCACATTCCAATAGTTTCTGCAATTACTCACCTGTAAACTATACATAAAGCAGTTCAGCACAGTAACCAATATTTCCATGTAAACAAAAATATCGGTGACATTTACGTGATACGTTTACAAAGTTCCCCTTGTATATATAAATCCGACATTTCTCTCGATTCTATTGCGATTCGTCGATAACTCGTATAAGATGAGCATTGCAGAATTATGCTGCTGTTCAGCCGATACCGAGAGGATAAAAGTCACTGTGACGAATGACGCTTTGAGCAGAGTGGCTCTCTCGAAAGTATCCCGGGGAGGAGAAATATTTCAATGGGAGAGTTTGGTAGCCATCTGTTTGCTCACCGATCGAATCTTTTCACTCGAGCCCGATGACAGGTATTGAGGCACTCAGCTACTCGAGAAAGATTGAGATTGCTCGGATGCGCGATGTGATTCGAAGATTATTCAATACTCGTACAGTCCACTCAATTATTGATCGGCGCTTTCAGTCAATAAACTTGAGCAATCTCCAATGAAATCTTCCGTGTAACATTCACTTTTTACCCTTCCACCGATGCTGATATGGAAGGGTTCGTAAGCACTGCCGAAATTATGTTTACACACACTCGGAATCGTACTCTATCGATCGGCCTGGATTTTCTAGAAACAACCGCCCAGTGCTCGGTAATGCTTAGAGGAGAAATATGAAATATTTACTGTCTAAAATCTTGTTATACTGTACGGATGAAATATTATTTTAAATAGGAAGCGAGGTTTTTGTGAGTATTTTTAATAATTTGAAGCATGTAAATTGAAATGCTTCTATTTTGTGTTTTATGTGTGAGTTTAACATATTTTTTGTTGTTAAAAGTAAATTGTGGGGAAAAATGGTTTTTAGCTTAATTTATTTCAGTAAATGTACTTTTGGAATGGTTTAAAATTTTCTTAAATGCAGCCGCGCATGATTGTTATTAACATTAATGCATAAACGAAGTATGTGAAGTTACAAATTAGGGATCCACTCTCTATAATGTCTTTAAATTGAGTATAATATTGAACGCGAATTCTGATGATTAAGGGAAAACATGTTTTGATTTATAAAGAAAGTCTCAATATTGTATCACGAAAAATGTATAAAAATTACATTATATAATGGAATATTCTTATAAAGTGAATTTCTAAATTCCATTTCAGTTGTACTTTTTTACTGATATGAAATACATTTCCATGGTAGGAAAGTATTTGTAATACTCTTTCTGTCTAATTAAAAAATAAAAAAAGTATATTTTTTTTAATTGTTTCCTTTGTTCATGAAAAATTAGAATTTATCCGGCAATGAAATTCCTTTGTGTAACCAGATAAATATACAACATGAACCACTCGTTGATAAAATCAGTTAAGTCCATTCCAATTTTTTAAAATTTTATCGTCAAATCGCTTTATTGACTCTTATGTTTTTATATTTAATATATTTTATTATTTATTCATTATTGTTGGATTTAACTTACAATATCTATTTGATTATCTATTTGAAGGGTAATTTTAAAAATCAATATATACTATTACATCACATTTCTTTACTTTCTGACTCATATAATAATCACTTTTTTTCATTTAGAATCTTTAACATTATCGACGAAGATACATACTTCTCCCTTGGTTTGTCAGAACTCATTTATCTGCTTAACAAAAGTTTTTTAACGATAGAATTTTCGTGTACAAAAATAAATTACAAAGACTATCTTACGCTTGGCGATTATACGAAATTAAATATTTATTTGTTCATATCATATTTTACTACTTGCAAATTACAATAACAGATGTATAGATATAAAATATTGTATATTCTTTATATAACTTCGAATCAATCGAAAATTCATATAGCGTAAATAAGTTTGTATTTTATATCTAGTTTCAGAAATTCATTTCTCAAAATTTGAAGTTGCATGAATGTAGTGGTCTCTGGTAACAAGGCTTTTATAGTGTTTCTAAACGGTCTGTTTCACGTGAGCTTGTACAGGCTGCGTGGACCGTAAGCGCCACCGTGTTTCATTTCCCTTTCAGTGAATTATGACAATTAGTCTGACATCATTGCATCCGTGGAATTGATTTTCTGCTTGTTTGCTCGTTACTGTTTGTGATCCCCTTAATCCCAAATCGCGACTGTATTTCGACATTTTCCTCTCGAATGCAACA